GGATGTATATAGAAGGGGACACCTTCTTTATAAATCCATCAAAACGGTCTAGACGGACGACGACTGACTCGACGAAGACGGAACTAAGGACATAAGGACATAAGGCAGGGGAACCCATGCGTTTTTTTCGGCAAAATTCTAGGGATTCTAGGGGTCGCGGAGCCGAAATGCGAGGCCAAATCGGATCATCCGGGTCATCCGGGTGGAGAACCGGATCGTCCGGGTCATCCGGGTGGGGAACCGGATCGTCCGGGTCATCCGGGTGGGGAACCGGATCGACCGGACCATCCGGATGGGAAACCGGGTCATCCGGGTCGGGAACCGGACCAACCGGATCATCCGGGTGGGGAACCGGGTCGACCGGACCATCCGGATGGGGAACCGGATCATCCGGGTCATCCGGGTCGGGAACCGGATCGACCGGACCATCCGGATGGGGAACCGGATCATCCGGGTCATCCGGGTCGGGAACCGGATCGACCGGACCATCCGGGTGGGGAACCGGACTCAACCGTACCATCCCCGTGGGGGACCGGACCCAACCGGACCATCCGGGTGGGGTGCCGGGTCGGGAACCGGACCGACCGGACCATCCGGGTGGGGAGCCGGATCAACCGGGTCATCCGGGTGGGGAACCGGATCGACCGGGTCATCCGGGTGGGGAACCGGATCGACCGGGTGGGGAACCGGACCAACCGGACCGACCGGACCATCCGGGTGGGGTACCGGGTCAGGAACCGGACTGGGAACCGGATCATCCGGGTCATCCGGATGGGGAACCGGATCATCCGGGTCATCCGGGTGGAGAACCGGATCAACCGGACCATCCGGACGGGGTACCGGGTGGGGAACCGGACCAACCGGACAGGGAACCGGACGGGAAGCCGGATCATCCGGGTCATCCGCATGGGGAATTGGATCGACCGGGTGATCCGGGTGGGGAACCGGATCAGCCGGGCAAGCCCGATGGGGAACCGGGTGGGGAAACGGACCAGCCGGGTAGGGTACCGGGCGGGGAACCGGACCATCCGGGTCATCCGGGTGGGGATCCGGATCGACCGGGTCATCCGGGTGGGGAACCGGACCAACCGGACCATCCGGGTGGGGAACCGGGTCGGGAACCGGATCAACCCGACCATCCGGTTGGGGAACCGGACCAATCGGACCGTGCGGGTGGGGAGCCGAATCGACCGGATGGGAAATCGGACCAACCGGGTGGGGAACCCGGTGCGGTTCCGGGTCGGGAGCCGGGTCAACCATCCGGACGGGGAACCGGATCATCCGGGTGGTCCGGGTGGGGAAGCGGACCAACCGGACCAACCGGGTGCGGTACCGGGTGGGAAACCGGACCAAACGGGTAGTGATCCGGACGGGGAACCGGATCATCCGGGTCGGGAACCGGATCAACCGGGTCTAGGGTGGGGAACCGGACCATCCGGGTGGGGAACCGGGTGGGGTACCGGGTCGGGGAACCGGATCAACCGGACCATCCGGACGGGGAACCGGATCATCCGGGTGGTCCGGGTGGGGTGCCAAATCGACCGTGCGGGGAGTCGGACCAACCGGACCATCCGGGTGGGGAACCGGGTGGGGTACCGGGTCGGGAACCGGATCAACCGGACCATCCGGACGGGGAACCGGATCATCCGGGAAGGGAACCGGATCGACCGGGTCTAGGGTGGGGAACCGGACCATCCGGGTCGGTCGGGTCGGAACCCGGATCCGGAACCGGGTGTTGAACCGTATCAACCGGATGGGAGCCGGATGGACCCAATCGGACGGACAAGCCGGACCAAAAACGGGTGGGGAACCGGATCGGAACCGGGTGGAGAGCCGAATGGGCCGGTTCGGTCGGATCAACCGGGCCGGAAACGGGTGGGTAACCGGATCAGCCGCCCCAGCCGGGTGAGGGATCCGGGTCGACCCGGTAGGGAGCTGGATCGACCGGGTCGGAACCGGTTGGGAAACCGGATTCACCGGACCGACCGGATCGACCGGATCAACCGGGTGGGGAACCGGGTCAACCGGACGGGGAACCGGATGGACCGGACCAGCCGGATCATCCGGGTTGGAACCGGGCGGGGAACCGGATCAACCGGTTGAGCCGGGTCGGTGGATCCGGATCCCACCACCCTAGGCGGGATGGATCCGGGTCGCACCCCCCCGGTTGGGATGGATCCCGATCACCCCTCTCGGGATGGGATGGATCCGGATCACCCCACCCGGGATGGGATGGATCCGGATCTCACCACCCTGGACGGGATGGATCCGGATAACCCCGCCGGGGGTTGGGATGGATCCCGATCACACCACCCTGGATGGGATGGATACGGATCGCACCTCCCTGGTGGGGATTGATCCGGTTCGAAACACCGCGGGTGGGATGGGTCCGGTCCGAACCACCCTGGAAGGGATGGATCCGGACCGGGCCACCGTGGATGAGACGGGTCCGGTTCTTTGCCGGCTCCCGGGTGGGTGTGGGTCCTTGGACGGGCCCGCACCCTCCCTAGAGCCCTTTATTCTTTGGGTCACACCTTCGTTCTCGACCGGGGTTCTTTGCGGGCTCTAGGGTGGGTGTGGGTCCTTGCACGGACCCCTACCTTCCCTAGAGCCCTTTTTTCATTTGGGCCACGCCTCCGGCTTCGACCGGGGTTCTTTGCGGGCTCTAGGGTGGGTGTGGGTCCTTGCACGGGACCACACCCTCCCTAGAGCCCTTTCTCCTTTGGGTCACACCTTCGATTTCGACCGGGGTTCTTTGTGGGCTCTAGGGTGGGTGTGGGTCCTTGGACGGGCCCACACCCTCCCTAGAGCCCTTTGCTCTTTGGGTCACATCCTTCGTTCTCGACCGGGGTTCTTTGCGGGCTCTAGGGTGGGTGTGGGTCCTTGCACGGACCCCTACCTTCCCTACCGGGTCGGGAACCGGATCGACCGGACCATCCGGACGGGGAACCGGATCATCCGGGTCATCCCGGAAGGGAACCGGATCGACCGGGTCTAGGTTAGGGAACCGGACCATCCGGGTGGGGAACCGGGTCCGATACCGGGTCGGGAACCGGATCGACCGGGTCTAGGGTAGGAAGCCGGACCATCCGGGTGGGGAACCGGGTCCGGTACCGGGTCGGGAACCGGATCGACCGGATCTAGGGTAGGAAGCCGGACCATCCGGGTGGGGAACCGGGTCCGGTACCGGGTCGGGTTTACCGGATCGACCGGATCTAGGGTAGGAAGCCGGACCATCCGGGTGGGGAACCGGGTCGGGTACCGGGTCTAGGGTAGGAAGCGGGACCATCCGGGTGGGGAACCGGGTCGAGTACTGGGTCGGGAACCGGATCGACCGGACCAACCGGATGGGGAACCGGATCATCCGGATCATCCGCATGGGGTGCCGAACCGTCCGTGTGGGGAGTCGGACCAACCGGGCCAACCGGGTGGGGTACCGGGTCGGGAACCGGATCAACCGGACCATCCGGACGGGGAACCGGATCATCCGGGTCATCCGGGAAGGGAACCGGATCTAGGCTAGGGAACCGGACCATCCGGGTGGGGAACCGGGTCTGGTACCGGGTCGGGAACCGGATCGACCGGGTCTAGGGTAGGAAGCCGGACCATCCGGGTGGGGAACCGGGTCCGGTACCGGGTCGGGTACCGGATCGACCGGGTCTAGGGTAGGAAGCCGGACCATCCGGGTGGGGAACCGGGTCGGGTACCGGGTCGGGTACCGGATCGACCGGATCTAGGGTAGGAAGCCGGACCATCCGCGTGGGGAACCGGGTCGGGTACCGGGTCGGGAACCGGATCGACCGGGTCTAGGGTAGGAAGCGGACCATCCGGGTGGGGAACCGGGTCGGGTACCGGCGGATCGACCGGACCATCCGGATGGGGAACCGGGGTGCCGAACCGACCGTGTGGGGAGTCGGACCAAACGGGCCAACCAGGTGGGGTACCGGGTCGGGAACCGGATCAACCGGACCATCCGACCGGGGAACCGGATCATCCAGGTCATCCGCACGGGGCGCCGAACCGACCGTGTGGGGAGTCGGACCAACCGGGCCAACCGGGTGGGGTACCGGGTCGGGTACCGGGTCGGGAACCGGACCGACCGGGTCTAGGGTAAGAAGCCGGAACATCCGGGTGGGGAACCGGGTCGGGTCCCGGCGGATCGACCGGACCATCCGGATGGGGAACCGGGGTGCCGAACCGACCGTGTGGGGAGTCGGACCAACCGGGCCAACCGGGTGGGGTACCGGGTCAGGAACCGGATCGACCGGACCATCCGGATGGGGAACCGGATCATCCAGGTCATCCGCATGGGGCGCCGAACCGACCGTGTGGGGAGTCGGACCAACCGGGCCAACCGGGTGGGGTACCGGGTCGGGAACCGGATCAACCGGACCATCCGACCGGGGAACCGGATCATCCGGGTCATCCGGGAAGGGAACCGGACCGACCGGGTCTAGGGTAGGAAGCCGGACCATCCGGGTGGGGAACCGGGTCGGGTCCTGGCGGATCGACCGGACCATCCGGATGGGGAACCGGGGTGCCGAACCGACCGTGTGGGGAGTCGGACCAACCGGGCCAACCGGGTGGGGTACCGGGTCAGGAACCGGATCGATCGGACCATCCGGATGGGGAACCGGATCATCCGGCTCATCCGCACGGGGCGCCGAACCGACCGTGTGGGGAGTCGGACCAACCGGGCCAACCGGGTGGGGTACCGGGTCGGGAACCGGTTCAACCGGACCATCCGACCGGGGAACCGGATCATCCGGGTCATCCGGGAAGGGAACCGGACCGATCGGGTCTAGGGTAGGAAGCCGGACCATCCGGGTGGGGAACCGGGTGGGGTACCGGGTCGGGAACCGGATCGACCGGACCATCCGGATGGGGAACCGGATCATCCGGCTCATCCGCACGGGGCGCCGAACCGACCGTGTGGGGAGTCGGACCAACCGGGCCAACCGGGTGGGGTACCGGGTCGGGAACCAGATCGACCGGACCATCCGGCCGGGGGAACGGATCATCTGGGCCATCCGGGAAGGGAACCGGATCGACCGGGTCTGGGGTAGGAAGCGGGACCATCCGGGTGGGGAACCGGGTCGGGTACCGGGTCGGGAACCGGATCGACCGGACCATCCGGATGGGGAACCGGGTCATCCGGCTCATCCGCATGGGGTGCCGAACCGATCGTGTGGGGAGTCGGACCAACCGGGCCAACCGGGTGGGAACTGGGCAGGGAACCGGATGGGGAACCGGATCTAGAGGACCGGCCGTATCGACCGGATCAACCGGGTGAGGAACCGGGTCAACCGGGCGGGGAACCGGATCAACCGCCCCAGCCGGGTGAGGGACCGGTTCGACCCGGTAGGGAGCCGGATCAACCGGGTCGGAACCGGGTAGGGAACCGGATGGGGAACCGGATCTACCGGACCGGCCGGTTCGACCGGGTGGGGATCCGGGTCAACCGGACTTGGAACCGGATGGACCGGACCGGACGGGGAACCTGATCTACCGGACCGGCCGGATCGACCGGGTGGGGAACCGGGTCAACCGGACGTGGAACCGGATGGACCGGACCGGCCGGATCATCCGGGTTGGAACCGGGCGGGGAACCGGATCGACCGGGTCGATGGATCCGGATCCCACCACCCTAGGCGTGATGGATCCGGGTCACACCACCCCGGTTGGGATGGATCCGGATCACCCCAATCGGGATGGGATGGATCCGGATCACCCCACCCGGGATGGGATGGATCCGGATCTCACCACCCTGGACTGGATGGATCCAAATAACCCCACCCGGGATGGGATGGATCCGGATCACACCACCCTAGATGGGATGGATCCGGACCGCACCTCCCGTGTGGGGATTGGTCCGGTTCGAAACACCGCGGGTGGGATGGGTCCGGTCCGAACCGCCCTGGATGGGATGAGAGGGGTCCGGCTCATTGTGGGCTCTAGGGTGGGTGTGGTTCATTGGACGGGGCCACACCCTCCCTAGAGCCCTCTATTTTTTTGGGTCACACTTCCATTCTCGACCGGGGTTCTTCGTGGGCCCAAGGGTGGGTGTGGGTCCTTGCACGGGCCCACACCCTCCCTAGAGCCCTTTACTCTATGGGTCGCACCTTCCTTCACGGCCGGTTGTGGTTCGAGGGCTCTAGGGTGACCGGTGGGGAACGTAGACCAGGGCGGGGGCAGGCTTTCTACGAGGTTCCTATCAACCCAGAGGGTCCTTTTGACCGGCTGGAATGAGGCAAGCGCTCAAATCAACCGGCCAAGGTTGAATTCCACCCTTGCACGGGCTCGGATGGGCTCCGGGACCTCTTTTTCCCGGTGCAAAGGCCCGGATGACCGGGGGGAAGTGTAAAGCAGGGTGGGAGCTTCCTTTGCTCGGGTTCCTATCCATCCCAAGGGTCCTTTTGACCGGCTGGAATGAGGCAAGCGCTCAAATCAACCGGCCAAGGTTGAATTCCACCCTTGCACGGGCTCGGATGGGCTCCGGGACCTCCTTTTCCCGGTGCCAAGGCCCGGATGACCGGGGGGGAGTGTAAACCAGGGTGGGAGCTTCCTTTCCACGGGTTCATATCCATCCCAAGGGTCCTTTTGACCGGCTGGAACGAGACAAACGCTCCAATGGACCGGCCAAGGTTGAATTCCACCCTTGCACGGGCTCGGGTGGGCTCCGGGACCTCTTTTTCCCGGTGCAAAGGCCCGGATGATCTGCGGGAAGTGTAAACCAGGGTGGGAGCTTCCTTTCTACGGGTTCATATCCATCCCAAGGGTCTTCTTGACCGGCTGGAATGAAACAATTGCTCCAATGGACCGTCCAAGGTTGAAATCCACCCTTGCACGGGCTCGGATGGGCTCCGGGACCTCTTTTTCCCGGTGCAAAGACCTGGGTGACCGGGGGGAAGTGTAAACCAAGGTGGGAGCTTCCTCTCTACGGGCTCATATCCATCCCAAGGGTCGTTTCGACCGGCTGGAATGAGTCAAACGATCCAAAGGACCAGCCAAGGTTGAATTCCACCCTTGCACGGGCTCGGATGGGCTCCGGGGCCTTCTTTTCCCGGTGCAAAGGCCCGGATGATCTGGGGGAAGTGTAAACCAGGGTGGGAGCTTCCTTTCTACGGGTTCATATCCATCCCAAGGGTCTTCTTGACCGGCTGGAATGAAACAATTCCTCCAATGGACCGTCCAAGGTTGAATTCCACCCTTGCACGGGCTCGGATGGGCTCCGGGGCCTTCTCTTCCCGGTGCAAAGGCCCGGATGATCTGGGGGAAGTGTAAACCAGGGTGGGAGCTTCCTTTCTACGGGTTCATATCCATCCCAAGGGTCGTTTTGACCGGCTGGAATGAAACAATTCCTCCAATGGACCGTCCAAGGTTGAAATCCACCCTTGCACGGGCTCGGATGGGCTCCAGGACCTCTTTTTCCCGGTGCAAAGACCTGGGTGACCGGGGGGAAGTGTAAGCCAGGGTGGGAGCTTCCTCTCTACGGGCTCATATCCATCCCAAGGGTCGTTTTGACCGGCTGGAATGGGCAAACGATCCAAAGGACCGGCCAAGGTTGAATTCCACCCTTGCACGGGCTCGGATGGGCTCCGGGGCCTCCTCTTCCCGGTGTAAAGGCCCGGATGACCGGGGGGAAGTGTAAACCAGGGCGCGAGCTACCTTTCTACGGGCTCATATCCGTCCCAAGGGTCCATTTGACCGGCTGGAACGAGACAAACGATCCCAAGGACCGGCCAAGGTTGAATTCCACCCTTGCACGGGCTCGGAGGGGCTCCGGGGCCTCCTCTTCCCGGTGTAAAGGCCCGGATGACCGGGGGGAAGTGTAAACCAGGGCGCGAGCTACCTTTCTACGGGCTCATATCCGTCCCAAGGGTCCATTTGACCGGCTGGAATGAGACAAACGATCCAAAGGACCGGCCAAGGTTGAATTCCACCCTTGCACAGGCTCGGACGGGCTCCGGGACCTCTTTTTCCCGGTGCAAAGGCCTGGATGACCGGGGGGAAGTGTAGTCCAGGGTGGGAGCTACCTTTCTACGGGCTCATATCCATCCCAAGGGTCCTTTTGACCGGCTGGAATGAGGCAAATGATCCAATGGACCGGCCAAGGTTCAATCCCACCCTCGCACGGGCTCGGATGGGCTCCGGGACCTCTTTTTCCCGGTGCAAAGGCCTGGATGACCGGTGGGAAGTGTAAAACAGGGTGGGAGCTACCTTCCTACGGGCTCATATCCATCCCAAGGGTCCTTTTGACCGGCTGGAATGAGACAAACGCTCCATTGTACCGGGGGATTTAGGGGCCAAGGCTCAATATCACCCTTGCACGGGCTCATATCCATCCCAAGATGGCCCCAAATGATGGTAACCCAACGTTATCCGAGTGATTGGCCCTGGAATAGGGTAGGGAATCGGGTATGTTGCCCCTCCCCAGCGCCATGGTGGTGGATTTCCGTTTGCCCCAAATGATGGTAACCCAACGTTATCCAAGTGATTGGCCCTGGAATAGGGTAGGGAGTTGTTATCTTCTCTCCATTGGGCCCTGGTGGGGCATTTCCAAACGCCCCAAATGATGGTAACCCAACGTTATCCGAGTGATTGGCCCTGGAATAGGGTAGGGAGTTGTTATCTTCTCTCCCTTGGGCTCTGGTGGGGCATTTCCGAACGCCCCAAATGAAGGTAACCCAACGTTATCCAAGTGATTGGCCCTGGAATAGGGTAGGGAGTTGTTATCTTCTCTCCCTTGGGCCCTGGTGGGGCATTTCCGAACGCCCCAAATGAAGGTAACCCAACGTTATCCGAGTGATTGGCCCTGGAATAGGGTAGGGAGTTGTTATCTTCTCTCCATTGGGCCCTGGTGGGGCATTTCCAAACGCCCCAAATGATGTTAACCCAACGTTATCCGAGTGATTGGCCCTGGAATGAGGAAGGGGTATCTTGTCTCTCCCTAGGACCCGGGCTCTGGTGGGTCCGGTTCCCTCCCGGGCTGGGTCCATCCGGTCCCCAACCGGGATGGTCCGGACCCCCACCCGGCCTGGGTCCATCCGGTCCCCACCCGGGTTTAGGGTCCGGACCCCCACCCCTATCCTGGGTGGATCCGGATCCCACCCGAAATGGTCCGGACCCCCACCCGGCCTGGGTGGATCCGGATCCCACCCGGGATGGTCCGGACCCCCACCCGGCCTCGGTGGATCCGGTTCCCACCCGGGATGGTCCGGACCCCCACCTAGCCTGGGTGGATCCGGTTCCCACCCAGGGTGGGATCCGGACCCCCACCTGGCCTGGGTGGATCCGGTTCCCACCCAGGTTTAGGGTCCGGACCCCCATCCGGATCCCACCCGGGATGGTCCGGACCCCCACCCGGCCTGGGTGGATTCCCCTCGGTGGGGAATTCATAAATGACTAGAATGATGGTAACCCAACATGATCCGAGTGATTGGCCTAGGAATAAATTAGTGTCAGCTCTTCTTTGTCCCTCTCTAGGACTTAGGCTCTGGTGGGTTCGGTTCCCACCCAGGATGGGTCCATCCGGTCCCCACCCGGGCTGGTCCGGACCCCCGCCCGGCCTGGGTCCATCCGGTTCCCACCCGCTCAGGATGGATTCGGTTCCCAACCGGGATGGTCCGGACCCCCACCCGGCCTGGGTGGATCCGGTTCCCACCCGGGATGATCCGGACCCCCACCACCCGGCTTGGGTGGATCCGGTTCCCACCCGGGATGGTCCGGACCCCCACCCGACCCGGGTGGATCCGGTTCCACCAGGGTTGGGGTCCGGACCACCATCCGGGCTGGGTGGATTCCCCTCGGTGGGGGTTTTTCAATTCCCCCAAATGATGGTAACCCAACGTTATCCGAGTGATTGGCCTAGGAATAATCCATGAGTACTTCTTCCAACAGTCTTTGTCTCCCTAATGCCCCGGTAAGACTAGTTTTGAGCCCCGTATCAAGGTAACCCAACGTGATCCCAGTGATTGGTCCACGAGCACGGTATGGTAGC